CTTTTTTTTTTTTTTTTTTTTTTTGTTTTACTAAAGTTAGTGGTAAATATTTTAATACTAAATTTAATTATTCAACATTAATCGAGGACAAATTATTTTTTATATACAGAGGCCAGTACTTAATGTAATAAAAAGTACATATTTCTTTTTTAATAATAAAATGCATATCAATTCTAATGGAATTGATATATTTTATGGCTTAATATATTTATTATTAATAATAAGAAGAAATATTACAGATAATAATAATAATAATAATAATAATAATAATAATAACAATAAGAAATATTAAACATTTACAGAAAAGTTGAAAAATTAGTAAAAGTCGAAAAGGATAAGATGTGGAAGAGTAATTCATCCTTACATTCGCCAAGTTCGACCAAAAGTTTTGATGCTCAAATAGCGAACTGGCGAATGGAAAGTATCGTGCGTGAATCCGAATCTGGAAGCGATGAGGAATTTTTCGACTGTCAAGGTATAATTTAAATGTCAGAATGACTGTTTTTAATACAAATCTGACTCGGTTTTCTAAAAAGTTAAAATAAACTTTGGCATGATTATTTGTAGATAATAGATTTCTAAAAATTCTTGTCTATTCATCTTTTAAAACGAATGAAAAAAAACTATTGATATTGTTAGAGCATGTCAACTACTATAAATTGTTAGAGTATATTTTTTGTTATCAATTAATGAAATAATTCATTAAAATGTTTTTGATAATATTAAAATGTTATCAATTTTTAATGTATCTATAAATAAATTTATTTAATTAGTGAAACATTTATTGAAAATTTCTTTGATAATATTATACAAATTTTATCAAATTATAAGCACAAATAAATTTATTTAAAATAGTAGATTTTTTTATATAGATTCATGCTTACTTTATATTATATGTTCGTTGTTTAATATTTGTTTATTCATATATACAACTTATAAAAATTAATAGACTTATAAATCAATGCGTAGCTTCATAAAAAGATACATGTTATAGTACGATCTGGTATCCAAGATGTTTTCTTTTATGTGCATTCTCTCTTTCTTAATTGTCGCACGCACAATTTCTACAGCAACGTCTGGATTCATTATACCTATTATATTAAAAGGTAGGAATCGTAGACTATTCTATACTAATAACAGTAGATAAATTATAATATTTTAAAATCAATAAAGTTTTTAATAATTTTCATAATTCAAATTAAAAATTTTTACTTGCTTTTACGAAAAATATTTAACAATTGCTTTATTCAATTTTTTAATATTTAAAAAATATATTTGGTTTTATTAATTTTTTAATTATTTAATATATTTATATAATTATAATTATAATTTGTGTGTCGTTTTATTCGCCTACGATATGACTACACATATATGAAAATCTTACTGTTATATATATTAATCATTTTAATTTGATTGTTCGTTTTTACCATAAAATTCCTTTTTTAATTAATTATTTTGCTGATATAAATAAAATTAAAATTTGTCAATTACAAAAAAATATCGATTTTCGGTTTCCAACATGTCAACTGCTCTCACGTGTAATGGGTATTTATTCTTCCATACTTTAAGTATTTTTTATTTCATATCAATAATGACTATGATTAGAAAGTTTTATTAATATATTATTTATATTATTCATTTAATCATCGTAATTGGCTGGCATAATTGTACTGAAGAAACCTATAAAAAATCTTTTAATTACATTTCTAATTATATTTTATTATACATTTAGTCTATTGTGGTCGTAAATTTTCACTTAAATTTATAATTAAATTTAAAATGATTTTTTAGTAAAACAGACAACGAACCTTATTTTTATTATTCTATAGTAAGCACGACAGATTTAAATCAAATTTCTTTGTTTTGGACATACAATAAATTAAAAAAAATTTTATTTCCTTATATTTTTACCGTTTTCTCAACTTCGAATATTTGATTAAAAAATTATTTATAGTATATATCTTTAAATATATAATGTAAAGTTATAAACAATATTTTCAAAAAAATTTTCATTTGAAGATATAATCATTATTCTTCCAAGGGCCGTGTCAGGGTATATTTGTAAAAGTCCTTTATTTACGTATCTTAAAAATTACAATTATTTATTGTGAATTTAAAATAATTATAATTTCCTAAAATTTTTAACAAATAAAAATCCATTTAGAAAATTCGGAAGTTTCATGACATCTATAAACAATGGCCAACTATATTATATTTTATAATATATATATTATCCATTGAATTATAAAACAAAAGTGTAGATAAGTGATACTTAATTAAGTGACGCATATAATAATAATCAAAGACATTTTTTCATAATACTTTCTAAAAAAGTATATTTCAAATATTTTATATTGTGTTAGTTGGTTAACTAAATTGTTTGCATGCAATAATATTCATAAGTATTAACTTAAGACATTAAAATATGAGTGTTTTTATTTTAATATTACTAAAATTAAATTTTTTACTTTGAAAATATTAATAATCTAATCTTTAATTTTAATATTCAAAGGCATACATACAAATTATATTTCAACTATGGTTTCATAAATCCATACAAATGAATATATATTTATCATTTTTATTTAATTACATAAATCAATATATAAGCATCATTAAAGAAACTTATAATATAAAAGTGAAATAAAAAAGCAGGTTAAAATTTCTAATCGAACAGACAATTTTGAACTCAAAGATAATTTATCAATTTCTAAATGAAGTTCTTTGGATCTTCTAGCTGAAGAGGAGGATTCAGCATCACCAAGTGTCCCAGATGTCAATACTCAAGGTGTTTATTTTCTTTTTACTTACAAATTTTTATAAATGATTATCAAGTTCCTTTTTCATTTAATGTTCAGTTTTATAAATTAGAGATCTGGATTATAAATATTTTTTTTTTTATATTGAGTAATCATATATATACATGTTTTTTTTAAGATATTTTATGCTATAATATTGTCTTGCGTGTGATTGCATCATACGGTAAATAAAAATAAATACAAAATGGTAAATAAAGTAAATTTTAAGAAGACAAGAATTGATATTAAAAAATAAGTTTAAGGTTATTATGTATTAACCGTACTAGACATATTCATTCATTTTTCCATATGTTAAATAATTCATTTTACAAAAAGTTTCTTTCAAAACAATAATAACTTACATAATTAAACAAAATTTTAATTTCATATTCTTTTCATATTAAAAAAAAGTAAATCATACATGTTTAGTATAATTTTTAATATTAATTAACATGAATTATGATATTAAAATGTTCTAGACGACACTATATTCTCATATTCATATCTTCAACGAGTGGCAAGTGAACGCACCGGTAGACGACTGCAAATACGAACTTCGGCTAGCATTGACGTCTCCTGTCCAGCTTCACCTCAATACTCTCCCACACATCAGCCGTGCAGTACTACTGTTCTTCTTATCATTTTGCATGCTGGCAGTGTTTTAGGTATTATATTAGCTATATTAGTTATATATTAGTTATATTATATTAACTAAAACGTTCAAAATTATGACGAATTTATTACCGATTAATTACTGGTTTCAAACAATGTATTAAACAATATAATATTTTTAACTAACACTTCTATAATGACTATAATTTTAATTGTAAATATGTAAATGTAGATTTTTAGCTTTCTTTGATTTATTAGTTATTACATATTAAAATAATGAGAATCCTAATATATGTTTATACGAATATATGTTTGTTATTACATACCAAATTTCCTTTTGCCAGCACAATAAATTAATAATTTATTTTTTACGAATAGTGAAAGATGTGGCTTGATCTTAAATTGAAATCCCTTGTATAGCATAAGAATCTTACTGAAGTTTTATAAGATAGTGACTGAAATATCGAAAAAACAGATAATTTATATGTAAAATATTTGTACTATACAATACCTGTATTCTATTTAGTTGGACATAACAAGACTTAACATTTCATTTCATTGATATAACTAGTATTACAAAATAAAATTTATAGATCCCAATAATTTAATATAATATTACTATTTGTTTTTAGAAATTTTCTATTTATATTGAAAATATATATTGAAATTATCTATATATTTATTTACATAATTTGTACAACTATTGACAAAAAGAATGATGGATTTTTGTAATATTTTAAGTGATTATTATAAAAATCATATTTTAAACCTACTTTTTGTTTAAATCTATTTTAAGTTCATTAAAACATTTGTATTTACTTATAGATGCAAATGTAGATTTAACAGCTAAAAAATCAGATATAACAACGTTCAAAGGAGCTTTTGAATCGGTAATAAGGCAACATTATCCGACAATGGTTGGTCATATAGCAATAAAATTTGTTTCCTGCCCGTCGATATGCACTGAAGGTCTCGGGATACTATCTAGGTAAGTAAATAAATCTACAAATTGATTATTTTTAATATTATTTTTTCAACCAAAATATAATTTTAATTAGCATCTATCAATGGTTTTCGTTATTCGTAATTCTTTTATAATTACTTTCATTCGTCCTCTTATAATATTTAATACTCTTTTAGAATAAATAGTAAAACTACAAACTTATAATAATATAAATAAATTTTTATGTCAACTACAATTTTGATTTTTGATGAGATAATCTCATATTTTACATGAATATGCTTGTGATGAAAATTATATGAGTAAATTAATATCTTGCAACATTATATGCAAAATAATATTTTTTATAAATAAGACACATTGTTACAAATAGCCTATTAATAACAGATGAAAAAAAAAAATAAATAAAGATATAACGATTCTATACAACCTTTCATTTCAGTCTTAGTCCATATAGTTTCGATGTATCACCATCATGTATGGATACACCACAAATAACGCATGATACGATACCGATTGGTGCTATTCCTCTACTCGCTACATCAACTCACGATTACCCGGATGCGGTCACACGAGTTATCAATGGCACAAATCAGGTCTATCAAGAATTTATCAGGTGCGAAGAAGGGCGAGGTTTTAACGGACAGATTTGCTTTATCGGTGACTCCGTTGGTTCAATCTTAGCCTACGATGCACTCTGCAGATCATCGCAATTTCAGTCTCGACACGATAGTGAAAACAGCATTTTAAATAATGACAATCATGAGTATAACGGAGGATACGAAGATGGGAAACATCTTGCGGCACCCATACCCAGGAGAAGATCTTCTTGTACTAGGTATGCATATAATTCGTTTAATACTTTTATTTTGTTTGATCTTTATAAAAAAAAAAAATAAATAAATAAAATACACTACTGTTTACTCTAATATTATTATTTTGTAAATTTCAAGTTATATGATATAATTTCGAATTAGCTGGAACTATAATAAACTGGAAGAATAATGAATATAACAACTTATTCCGATGTAAATATAATAAATCATATGAATTTTTACTAATACAGTAAATGCAAGTTATATTAAAAGTATTATACATAAATTGATATTATAAAAGTAAATATTTTCAAGAAATATACAAAATTAATAAAAAGAAAAATTCACTTGCAGCAATAAAAATTGTGACAGAATTAATTGTGAAAAATATAAAAACAAACAAACATAAGTATTTATTATGAAAATATTTCAACGTAATTGATTATATCTTCTACATGTCTATTGATATATTATCAACTCCTTCTTTTAAATAATTATTTAAAGGATAATCTTTTCTGCGGGTTAGATATATAACATAACATTAATTAAAAATTCACTATAATAATCCATAAATTATATTTTTTTAAGTTTTAACTTTTTGACAAAAATTTATATATAATTTGTAAAAATTTTCTTATTAAATATTTAAGTAAGCTATAATGAATAAACATTAAATGAATTTAATTAATTTAAACACGTATTTACTAATCATGATTATGAAATATATTTTATAGTGCTATTAAAAAATTATTGACAATCTTGTAATACTTTTAATTTCATTACTGATAATATTCATCTTCAATATCATTATAATGATAATTATAATTTTAATATTCTGACAAAAAATAAATTCATGTGGTATATTATTTACTTTATTAATTGTAACAAATATGGTTTTTTCAAAATTATTTAATATTAAAAAATGTTTAACTGAAAATAAAAATAATAAAGAGTAACATCATTTAAAACAATAATTTTAATTCAGTATTATTAAGGTATAAAAGTCTAAATCTATAAAATAATTCACAATTAATTTATTTCATTGTTCTGTTTAGTGATAATTCTCATCAATGTAAACTGGATTTTGATGTCAGCGATTTTTTTATGTTTGGCAGTCCATTATCACTAGTTTTAGCATATAGGAAGATATCCTCAATAGGGGAGAAAACTAATAATATAAATAAACCTTGCGTGAATCAAGTTTACAATTTATTTCATCCAAGCGATCCAGTAGCTGCTCGATTGGAGCCATTAATCTCGGCACGTTTCTCTTTGTTGCCACCAGTAAATGTTGCACGATATCAAAAATATCCTCTTGGTAATGGCCAGCCATATCATTTATGTAAGTAATTTTAATCTCTATATTGTAATCATAAAATTAAAAAAAAAAAATATTTTACACAAAATAAAACAAAGTGAATCCTATGATATCTTGTAATCGAAGCATTTTCAAAGTCCATTACATTAGATGTAAATGTCATTTTAATAAATAATAATAAAATAGTATATTGTAGTAATGAAATGGTATATTATAGTAACAAAAACTTCTTTCTTTTATTTTTCAGTCTTTTATTTTTAAAATTCTTTCAAAATTAATTTATCAATAAAAATTATTGACGTCATTTGATTAGATAAAAAAAAATTTTGAAAATAAATATGAAATCATTATTATAAAATGTTTTAAAATATAATATATAATGCTTGTGAAAAATATATTTTGCTAGTTTTTTTTTATTATAGAAAAAACTAAGATAATTACAAAATTCAATTAATTAAAATTGTTTATAACAAATCCAATGATCATTTATTATACGTTTTGCATGAGTGATACTGTATATGTGCTGTGATTATACTTTTTGCTTGTAAATTAGAAAGTTTATAATCATTAAGATACTGTTTTTGACTAATATCGTTGGGTACTTTTTATTTATATATAATAAATTATAATTTAAAAAAAATTATAATATTTCAATAAACCAATTACATATCTGTTTATTTTTTTGAAATATAATACATATTATAGTGGAAACATTACAAACTAATCCTCAACTGTTTACTGATGGACTGAACGTTCCCAGTATTACAATGTCTCATCTAAGAAGATTATCAGATATATCAATTCATAGTACTATGTCGAGTATTGATACTGTACCACTTCAAGCTGTATCTTCTCGTATATATTTTCCTTTATTTTTATTGCGCAAATTATATATTTAAAATTCTCATTATTTATTACTCATTTCTTTTTATTTATTATAGTTACTCATAAGTGGTGGGGCACCAAGAGGATAGATTATGCCTTATATTGCCCTGAAGGACTTGCGAATTTTCCTACAAATGCTTTACCTCATTTATTTCACGCAAGTTACTGGGAATCTTCAGATGTTATAGCATTTATCGTTCGACAAATTGGTAGATTTGATTTACAATTGTTAGATAATGATGAAAAAGAACTTACCGGTTTCCGTCCAGGCCAACCTAGAGAAAAATGGAATAAAAAACGAACCTCTGTTAAATTAAAAGTAAGAGTTGATATTGGTTATTTGTATCTATTCAAAATATTTAAGCTACGTAAAATTATTTTTTACGTGAAAATATATTTTAGCAGTCGAAAATTTGAATAAAAAAAAGTTTAATATCTGTATATTAATGAACGCTATGTATTAATTAATAATAATACTTGATTGTAAAAATAGAAAATTTTTTTGCAGAATGTTGCTGCAAATCATCGAGCTAATGATGTTATTGTTAGAGATGGGACACCACAAATATTGGTAGCTAGATTCATGTATGGGCCTATAGGAGTAATAGCATTAACTGGTATGTCCTTTTCATGCATAATTAATTTTTAAATAACATACTCTCTTTTTCCCTGTGTGTATATTCTTTAAATCTTGTATTACGATTAAATTACATCATTTTAAAACAATTTACATTTATAGGCGAAAAAATAGATATTCATATAATGAAAGATGTTAGATTAGGTGAATGGATTTTTTATTCAACTGAAATAACGGATAAAAATGGTAGAATAATTTATCAGATTCCAGATGATAAAACCTTAGGATATGGACTTTATCCGGTAAAAATGATAGTAAGGTAATTTAATTGAATATTTTACATAATTTAAAAAATGTAAATAAATATATTTTAATAATTGTAATATTTTATTGATCTCATTTATTTCATTTGAAGAGGTGATCATACGTCTGTAGATTTTTTTATGACTGTAATTCCACCAAAAACAGAATGCGTGGTCTTTAGTATTGATGGTTCTTTTACGGCAAGTGTATCTGTAACAGGGAGAGATCCTAAAGTTAGAGCGGGTGCCGTAGATATCGTTAGGTAAAACAAAATTTGAATGTACTTTGTATTCAGCATAATCTAGTTTTTCTTAATAAATAAATAATTAATGTTATATTATAATATTTTAGGCATTGGCAAGAACTGGGATACTTAATTATTTATATAACCGGAAGACCAGACATGCAACAACATAAGGTCGTATCATGGCTCTCACAACACAACTTTCCACATGGTCTTGTATCTTTTGCTGATGGTTTATCTACCGATCCATTAGCACATAAAGCTGCATATCTTAAAAATTTAATACAGGTAAATTAAAATTAAACTTAAAATATTTATGACCATCAATATAGAAAATTAATTTTTTTTACTATAAGCTCATTTCACATTGAATAATATTTTATTGTGTTAGAAACATATTAATTTATTGTAGAACATAATTCATTTAAAGTGATTTTTTAAATATGGTTTAATTTTTATAAGAATATTTTAATTACATAATATGTTGAAATAATTGCCGAATTAAAAAATATATTATTATATATTACATTAAATATCATAATTTATTAAATATTACATTATACAATTCTTTAATTCAATAAATATCCCCTCGTGATATCCTTGCAATTTCTCCTTTCTAATGTACAGCATGTAATCTACGTAGGAACATGGCGTAATAATTCATCACGCATACGGAAGTAACAAAGATATAAGTGTATATACGTCGATAAACCTGCAACCGAGCCAAATTTTCATTATTGGAAAAGTGCCACGTAAAAATCATGCGTTATCTACCGTTTTACACGAGGGTTACGCTGCACACCTGAGCATGCTTCAAGCATACGGCGGTTCACGACCTGCTCAGGGCAATGCGCGCATGGTTATACCTAGAGGGCAGTTCGGTCTACCCGGACAAAATGCCTCGTTACGACGAAGAAGGTGAGAGTTAACACACATCAAAAACTCTACATCTATCTCATACAACAAACCGATGAATCTCCGTTTTACCTACTTTTTATGCAAATTTTTTTATTAGCAGTTATCGTACGTACATAACTGTCTAATACATACATTTTTATATTGATTGTATAGCGCACGAACCTATCTATACTACATTTTATATTACATTTTATATGATTGATGTATATGGTAATGATTGGAGACATTTTTGCCATTTTCTTAGTTAGTTTATATTAATTAGAAATACGGTTTAATATTTGAATGAAGCACATTTTACTAAAAATTAAAATTTTTCTCCACATTTATTAAAATATTATTATTATTAAACATCATTAATAAGACTGTACAGTTATATAGGTTTTGATATTGTTTTATTTTATAAAATTGACGCAAATCAATTCCAGAGAAAATAATTATTTTTATTATAATGTTAAAAAGGATATAAGCATTATAAGTGATAAAACACATATTTATCCTTAGAAAATTGAAATAAACTTTCGATTCAACAGAAATATATATAGTTCTTTCATAAACATGATGAAATCATTTGATTGAATACCAATGGACATGGCGATTCGTAAATAAATTCGTTAAAAAACGATGCATATTTATGTAATCTATACATTCCGCCAGTTCATAAATTTGTGAATAAAATATAGAATAATTAGTGAGTTCATTGAATTGTGATATATACCAGTGCGAGTGTGTATGTGAATACGAGCCTCGGCTCTGTTCCAGTAACGACACAGCAGTCAACTCGCCAGCGCGCAGCAGTGTATACTTAAAAGGAAAGACCAACTTAGTCACATCTAATACTCGACTATTATCTACGAACAATTAACTTATTAACATTGGTAACTATTCTCGTTTTTCTCCTATATTTGCTATATTTTCCAACTGAATGTTGCAAGTAAAGATAGATAGATTGTCTCGTCATTTGGTTAAAAAATTAATAAACTATGATTTTTTAAAGTTATTTTGAGATAGATTAAAATATAATTGAAAAAAAAATTTATGATCGAGTTCATTTTATTTAGAAAATTCAATAAATAATTTGCATACAAGCATATAGTTATAATAAATATATGCATTCATCATTAGAAAAACACTGGTCAAATTCAATACTCTAAAGATTAAATTGAAATTTGGTAATAATAAAGCAATACACGGAACTTATGGTAATTTATATTGTCATTTCTATAAGTGTGAGACAGTCTCTATCTATCTCCTCATAGCTTTTGAAACAGTCTGTCTACTTCCTATAGAAATATATTAATAAATAAATACATACATAAATAAATAATAATATGAATATATTTATTTATTTATACATATATATATATTTATTAATTTATTTTTATTTTTAAACTATAAGTCTTGAACTGATACAGACAAACAGAATAAGATATAAGATATAATATATATATATTATATCTTAACCTTCTTCAAATTACAGGTACCTTTCGTGAAGATATGTCGCGTTCAACCAGTGAAATAGAACTTTTAAAACCAAAGTGACAAAGAGAAAATCAGACAGCCTACTACTACTACTACTATTACTACTACTACTGTCATCCCTACATTCTGTTAGTTCGTTCATTTATAATCAACCTTAAGAAAGCGTAAAAACATTCATGCCCAAGATTTGTGTCGGTTAGTTCAGAAATGTTTTAGTTTTTTTTTTTTTCAACTGTTGGAATGAACTCGATACTCACTTTAACGACCAAGGTAAATAGAGAATCTTGGCCATCATTTACAGTATACATTTTTTCTTAAATGTTTTAATGTATAGTTATAATATCTAAGCAATGACTTTCCACCAAAATTCTCTAATATTTTCTAATTTGTATTCTAGAAATTGTAAAATTAAGAGGACACTTGATAAAAGTAGATAAAAGAAATACAATGACAAACAAAATTAAAACAAATAAATTTTATATGATTTGTGAAATATAATACATTTTTATAAAATATTATAATTTTTAATAAATGAATAATTTGAAAGTTATTTAAAATATGAATTAAATTAAAATTGATTAGCCTTGTTTTCTTCTTAAAAAATGTTATATTAAATATACAGTATTATCTTTTAGATAAAAACGTTAAATATTTATATTTGTAGATTTAATTAAGATTAAATTTAGTTTTATATTAAATTAGCAATTATTAGTTAAAGCATACGACTTATGCTAATAAAATACATTACTTTACTAAATTAATGGATGTATTCCTAAATAGATCATTTAAACTGTATCTTTACAAAAATAAATGTTATTTTTATAATTATAAAAAATTAGTTCATATTTAAATTTTCAATAAAAAGTTATACATTATGTATATTATAACATGATAATGAACTATTCAACAAATAATGATACCTCAAAGTGTTTGTTTAGTTCTTTATATGTTACGTATTTTATTGTTACGAAACTTAACTTTTTATACAGTTTATAATATTTATATTTAAATAATATTACAATGCCAATAAATACAGTATTGAATTTTATATAGCAAGTTTATACATATTTCATAAAATATCTATATTTTTCTTAATTTGAATAAATCACTACACAATTTTTCTTAAAATTTCCTCTTAAAGTTACACAAATTTATCGATGATAAAATATGTAATTTTAGCTAAAATTTAGATTGAAAACTAAGAATTTGATGGCGAGTCAACTAAGTCACTGCTTCCTGTGAAAATAAAAATAATCGCATGAACAAAAACATTATATGCTTTTTATCCACGTATCAATTTATTATTTTCAAATACGCGCGCCTTCATTGCACGATTCAAATAGATGTGAATGTTTTTTTGTCAGTATATATTATATATTACACTTAAAAAATATGTTCCAAAATGTAACGAAAATATACTATAATCGAAAATGAAAATATACTATAAACGAAAATAAACTATAATAAAAAAATATATAATCAACTAATGCGAAACACTTGAATGCAAAATAATCTTTATTGTTAAAAAAAATGTACCATAAACAAATGTACAGTATATAGTTAAAGTTCAAAACGATGTGAATTATTTTTCATTCATTCCAAAATTAGAATTTTAAATTGATTTTAAATTTTATTATTTATAAGTATAACAAATCGTTTATTACTCAATTAAAACAATTAAACAATTCAGGCTCTATTAAACTTTTTAAAAACCTACAATTCATTCATTAGAAATTTAGCTTTATTACATATCTAGAGATCCAAATTTTATTTCACTATTATGCATTTATATGTTCTATTTCTGTCCATATTTATATATAACATTAACTTTTCGAGATAAAATATATAAATCTAAATGAATAGATAAAGTCAATATAAAAGTATAAGAATGAAATATAAAAGAGATTTTTTATTTTTATATGTTATGTTTATAGTTAAATTATTTCGTAATTAGTTATGACACTTACTAGTTATAATAATAAACTATTGTATACGTTGTACAATAGTAGATACTATTGTATCTGTATTTTTCATTTAATTATGTGAAAAACTTAATTGTGTGCTAATTTTTATATTTAATCATATTTCATATTTAAATTGATTTTATATTTAAATAAACTTTTTCTCCCAATTATTAATTCTATTTTACTTTTTATACAATTCTGTTTCAATATTTTTACGTATAACAAATGAAAAGATTATTAAATTATAAAAAAATAAAAAAATATGAATAGATGTATGAATAGAGTTAAAATTGATATAGTAATCTTTTCTTTTTGATATTATAACGAGATAGTTAATTATATATAAAGTATTAAAATTTTTATTTGTATATATTATCGTCTGCTTATAAATCAACTGTATTTTTTCAATTACAATTTTAATTATCTTATTTACTAAGAAATCGATATATTTTTAAAATAGTGGATTTTAAATATGTATGTATTTAATATTATTCAATAAACTAATAATCAGCTATATATACATACTAGTATTTCATAATAAAATTAATTATATTATATTAAATATCCAAGTGACTATCATATATTTTTTAATATTTTTTAAATTACATGTTGGTAATTTAACTTGATATATTTTAGACGCGAATAATAGTAATATATTTTTTTTATAAATTTTATAATCAATGACATTTGATATTTAATTCATTAGTTAATTAGTTATTCTTTAATATAAGACTATTTTTTAATGTATTAATAGTTAACTATTTTCATAAAAATAATATAAATTTAATACATTTATAAATGTTTAGCCACAATGATCATTGAATTAATGTGAATATCAATGCATCATATTAAAAATATTATTCTTTAAATGCAAATAATTTATTAATATTATTTCTACACGATATAAATTTTACCGTTATAATAGTACATTTAGAATATTTTATCCATTAAGTACCGAATAAACTCATCTAGATTTATACGCACTGAATGCATGTCCATATAAATTCATTAACGATCATACTCTTAATTGCCTCTAGATTTTCATTTATAAACTAGTAATTGATTTGAAAATTAATATAAAACTTTTTGCTTATAAAATGTTTTATTATTTTATATTTCTACATATTCGAAATGGTTATTTTTTAAGATTTATAAATTTAATAGTTTATACATAATATTATTTTATTATGAACTATTATTAAAATTATATATTTACGAATGAACTCAATATTATGTAAATTTAACTATTTTGTACATGTATATATTTTAATGTTTTAAATAAAAAATAATTGTACTGTATTATAATTTACTTCGAATAAATCAATTAAAACAGTTAAGAAATCAAATGAAATACATTTTAAAAATTTAGTTTAAACTAACTAATTTTTGCAATAGTTATGCAATACATAAAAAATAATAACATATATATATATATATATATATATATATATATATATATATCTGTATTTTTTTTTAATAAAAACATTTTATAGTTAATGTTTTAATATATTATAAATATTATATTGCTACATGATTATATTTTTATGTATGTGATACAACTATCACAAAAATTAGATATAAATCTAACTAAATTTTTGGAACAAATTTCAATTTAAATCTGAAAATTTTAACTGATGTTGTAAAGTATAAAATTTATAATTAAATTCATAAACTTCTACGAACCAAATTATGGGTATAAAGTGAATATTTTATCATAATATACTACATAATATGATATAGAATTATAAACCTAAATGTTAATTTGCAATAATATAGAATAAATTTAAATATTAATGAAGTAAAAAAATTTAATATATATTTTGTGGTAATTTTATTACAAATAATTATTGTCAATTTACGGAATTAATTTAAAAATTTAGAATTAAAAAAAAATTTTTTCAAATAAAAATTACTTTTATGCTTAAAAAATAAATTTGTTAATGCAGTGTATTAGAAAATTAATAGATTTTTCAAGTGACAATAATAAATCACGTAGATTTTTATACAGATTAAATGATTATAATTCGCCGGATATTTTAGATATCAATTTACGATAGCATAGAAATACACTATATACAAATATTTATAAATTATTATAAAAACAAATATAGCATTAAAAGTTTTGTGAAATAACAAAATATTAATTTTTTCTATATTAAAATAGAAATTTATTAGTACATTTTGTTAATGGATGAAAGAACGTGATAAAATCAATAAAAATATTACTTTCTATTATAAAGTATTTAAATGTTTATTTTCAACACAAGTTGTGTAGATTACAATATATCTTTAGATTACTAATATATGTGAAAGTATAGTCAGTTGCAATCACATCTTCACAATTTAAAAAGTATATTAATTTTCATTCAAAAGAATTATTTTTCATTCATAAAATTTTTTACCTTAAATTCTGACGACTTGAACGTCTTCCTTAATATTATATCTTCCTGTTGTTTATATAGTACATTTGTATTCTAGCATAATTTATAAAATAATTATAACTTATTTATAAATGTTCTTTCTTTGATTAACGGACCATTTACCAAATCCCTTAATAATGAAAAAAAAGAAAGAAGAGTGATAGATAGTTCTTAATGGAAGAATAAAGAATAATTGGCACATGCATATAATGGCATGGCGCACAGAATCGCAAAGCTTTTAAAATAGGTGTCGCGTGGAGTTTTGTAATTAAAAAAAAAAAACATAATCTCATCCCAAATTGCGACTAACGAAGGTTTAAATTTTAGGTCGGTGAAACGCGCGGAAAGCAACATGTCGGGGCGCTTGGAGCGGAGCACGAGCGTCGACCCCGATACTTCGGCTCAACAGCAAACTATGCCTGTGACTCCGATAAGCAAATCCAGCACCCCGGACAAATTATGACGTTTCGCACGTTGTCGCTCTTTATTTGAGCCACGACGGTAGACATTATTTACTTCATCTAACAGGACTGCGTGAAATTCGATAGGTTTTCTCGATTTATTACACAATCGAGCGGGTAATACGTTGAAACTTTAACTGTGCATATGCTATATGTTTTTTAATTTTAATTCAAATTCTTATTAAGAAAAAAATGTGAAAAATGTTTTAACTTATGTTACTGCAATTAGGAATAGAATTTTTTACATAAATAGATGATAGAAAAATTCTCCAAGTAACGTAGTCAATAAAGTTTATATGAATAACTTTACAATCGTTAACGGCTTTAATATATAGTTGCTTGTTATTTAAAATGTTCGATTATTGCATTTGTTTTTAAAATATATTTTCAAGCAAGGAAGATTTTTAATGTTGTATATGAATAATAATCAAACTCTTGCATTTAAAGTAAATAATGTAACTGTTGAATTTTATCAAACTCTATTGAATTTTTAAAATTATAATAGAAAATGTTTAATTAATATTGAAATAATTATGTT